TTGGGTCCTGTTGGGTCTGATTGGGTCCTGTTGGGTCTGATTGGGTCCTTTTGGGTCCTGTTGGGTCTGATTGGGTCCCTTTTGAGTCTGGTTGGGTCTGATTGGGTCCTGTTGGGTCTGGTTGGGTCCTGTTGGGTCTGATTGGGTCTGTTTGGGTTCTGTTGGGTCCTGTTTGGTCCTGTTGGGTCTGGTTGGGTCCTTTTGGGTCCTGTTGGGTCTGGTTGGGTCCTGTTGGGTCCTGTTGGGTATGGTTGGCTCCTGTTGTGTCCTGTTGGGTCCGGTTGGGTCTGGTTGGGTCCTGTTCGGTCCTGTTGGGTCCTGTTGGGTCTGGTTTGGTCCTGTTGGGTCCTTTTGGGTCTGATTGGGTCCTGTTGGGTCCTGTTGGGTCTGTTTGGGTCTTCTGGTGTCTCTTTTAAAGCTGAACTCGTCTCTATGCACCGGATGTAAATGTAAATACGGCCGGAGTCCGGCCGACTGGACGCTCTGAGTCTGTGTCTCCGTTTCTTCCCGTTGGACAGATTTACCTCATCACCTCTTTATGTAGCACTTCTCCTCCTCCTTAGATCTATTTTTCCATCGTTTTAGGATCGGATGCACTAACTGTTCGACTCGTCTCCGCTGAGGAAAAAAAACAGGACAGAAGTTTGAACTTCCTGTGTTCCCTTTTGGAAAAAAAACAAACAAAAAAAGAAATAAAATACTCAAAGTTTTCTTTGTGTCTTTGGACTTTTTTCCACCCGGTTTCCTGAGAATTTGAGAAATGACTAAAAGAATTAAAAATAAATCGGAATATCTCAAATTAAACTTTGAATTTCTGCTCTGATTTCCTCTAAAGGAGCTTTAGTTTGATTAATAATTCCTCCTAAAATATGAGCTCATTTTACACTAAAATTGTGAAAACTTGTTTGATTTTCCATAAAAAACTATATAAACTGCATAGAATTAATTTGGATATCAGATAAATTACTAAAATAAATAAAAATATCTCAAATTTAAACCTTGAATTTCTGCTCTCTGATTTCCACTAAATGAGTTAAAAACTCCTTAAAGTTTCTCTTTCATAAGTTCTGTAAACAATTCCTGTAAAAATATGAGCTGATTTAAAAAAAAACAATGAAACCATGGTAGTTTTTATATAAGCAAATTAAATTATCTGCATGTATTAATCTGGGAATCAGATGATTAAAAAAGTAAATCAAATTAAATCAGAATATCTCAATTTAAACTGTGAATTTCTGCTTTAAACTTAAATCAGCAGAACAAAATGCTTCCTGTCACATTTCAGCTTTAAAAGATCAGATACACCAGAAACAGAAGAAGAAGATTTGATTTTTTAAATCCTTTATTGACTTTTTTTCCCCGGTCTCTCTACAATTCAGTTGAGGGGAGACTTTCATTTTACTCCTGAAAAATAAAAAACAAACATATTAATTACTCTAGAAACTCAGAAGAAGAAGAACAAGTAGAAGAAGAAGTAACAGAATAAGTAGTAGAAGAAGAAGTAACAGAATAAGTAGTATTAGAAGAAGTAACAGAAGAACTAGTAGAAGAAAAAGTAACAGAATAAGTAAAAGTAGAAGTAACAGAAACAGTAGAAGAAGAAGAAGTAACAGAATAAGTAG